TTTACCTCTACTTGCGAACTCTGCCTCGAGTTACGAACCGGATCCGCGGCCATTTTCCCTGCTGCCACGCGGTCGCAGCTTCCTGTGGGCGAGATTGCGGTAGCAAGGAGACGTTCGGTGAGGCTTCTGGTGTGGTTTGTGGCGTTTGGAAGGTTTTTGAGGTTTAAAAATAAAATGCATATGTTTCAGAACTGTTTAGCCTTCTTTACATTGAACCTTATGGGTGAAATTTACCTCTGGGTGCGACCAAATTCGGAGGGCGGATTAGCCGTATTTACATTGAACCTTATGGGAAAATTTACCTCAAGTTGCAACCAACTCGAGTTGCAACCAGAGTCACGGAACGGATTAAGTTCGTAACTAAAGGTACCACTCTACTTTGTTCTGATTATCAGTTCCAGGTAGCAACTTAGAAGCAGCATTTAATGTTTTGCTTTGAATTTCTTTTTTTTTAACATTGTAAAATGCATATTTGTATCTATTTTCTGCTGCATATGCGGGTCCTAAATGGTATGTGATTTCCCATTCAGAACATCAGAGCTGGGTTTGAGAATATTTAGTTTTTTAAAAAATGTATGTCTGTATGTGCAGAAATGTACAGATGGGGACCTAATTCAACAAGTAACATGTTTCACATATCCAGGGGTGGCAGAATTAGAAGGCTATTATGTGATCCCTCTGATATTCTGGCAGATGCTTGGCTCCAGTTTTAGCAATGATTTTGGTATATTTACTGTGGCATCACATTTGAAAGATACTGAGACAGTGATATAATTGTAACCCTTAGTCATATAAGCAATTTATATTCTGAGAGAATCCCATTTTGAGAATTGCAAGTATTTTTTTTAATTAATGTGCAAACAGAATCATTAATAGTTTGGTTTCTTGCCAAATAAGTCTTAAAACATAACTGCAAGAGGAATCTAGATGCCTAAAATTGTGAAATAGCATTTTTTTCAATTAAAGCATCTCTTGATTTCAGATTTTTCTCCAGGTACATTAGTTGCTTCTGTATTGCCCTGTATTATTGTCAGAACTGGAATGCGTTTTACATTAAGTCTACAGTGTTGTTTAAATATACAGGCAATGAATATCGTTAAAGTAAATATTTGATTTGTAACATCTCTGAATTAAAGAATTGGTTTATTAATGTATTAACCAATTAATGATTAAGAACCTTAAAGATATTAAGTATGATACTGAGACTAATTCAACAAAAGATTTTTTTTCACATCTTTGAATATTCTGGAAAATGTTTGAAAAAGGTTTGGCTGTCATTCTCATTATGCTGAATAAAATGGATAAGGGGACATGTATGTATATAATATAAACTATTACTTTTTGATTCAATAATCATAGGTTTGTTAGAAAGATCAATACAGTTTAAGATATTTAAACTGTGTACATTTGAACTGTATACAAAAACCTTGGAATTTATCACTAAAGAATTATGGATTTACTAAACATAGGAAACAGCAAAAAGGACTACTTTTCAATGTGGTTATATCTATTTTTGTTATTGCCTTTTTCCTTTTATTGTTTTTGTGATTTTGTTTGTTTAAAATACTTTGCTACTCATATACTTGTATGTAAATGTATATAAATACTCATATAAATACTCATTGTATATAAATACTCATATACTTGTATATAAATGGGTTTTGTCTTTATGACTTTCTCTTATTCATAAATATTCCTGTGTTCATATTACAATGATTAAATGGTATGTGTATGTATATATATTTTGCTGTAGGTATGACTTTGTAGAAGTTGAAGAGCCTAGTGATGGCACTATCTTAGGGCGGTGGTGTGGTTCTGCTACTGTTCCAGGCAAACAGATCTCTAAAGGAAACCAGATCAGGATAAGATTTGTTTCTGATGAATATTTTCCTTCTGAACCTGGATTCTGTATTCATTATAATCTTCTCACAACAGTAAGTAGCATATTTCTATCTTTTGATTCTCAAAGCATAATGATAAAAGATTAAGGATTAATGCAATAAGTGGAATCATAGAATTGGAAAAGGCCACTGAGTCCAACCTCTGGCTCACTGCAGGAATCCAGTGTAAAGCATCCCTGACAAATGTCAATACAAGTAGTTCTCATTTAGCAACTGACTCAGATAGGGACCATTCACAGTTATAATGGTGATTAAAAAGTAACTTTGCGACCAGTCCTTGCATTTATGACCTTCGCAGGTCTGTAAAGCAAAGGAAAGCTGAAGGAAGATAAGCACAGTTGCGGTTTCACTTAGCGACCGCTTCACTTAACAATTGAGTTGCCAGTCCCAGTTGTGGTTGCTAAATGAAGACTTTGAAGTAATCCCTCAAAGGAGAGCTAAAATATGAAGTGTAATCTGACTGGAGGTAAAGGAGCCTGATTACTTTTTTTACTGCACTTCTGCGTGTACTACTAAAGTAGAAATGGATGTCGGTGGAGGCTACTCAAAAAGTAAATGATAGCTGGAAAAGTATTAAACATTTCTTCCATGTTTAATTTTCTTCTACTCCTGATTGATTCACATAGGATGGATTTTATATCTGTTCTATATCTTAATTAATCAGATATCTTTTTGGAAATTAAACACTTTGTTTTCTCAGTGATCCAAGTCATGAAAGTGGGAAGGCATAGCTGTATAAGTTGATTCAAAATTATGCATTTTGGATTTGTTTGCAATACAGGTAGTCCTCACTTAATGACCCTAATTGGGACCAGCAACTCCATCGCTAAGCAAAGTGGTCATTAACAGAAGCATCATATGACTGCCCCACTTAGTGATGTTAGTTCCACCAGTCCCTGTTCTGTCATTAAACAGGGATCCTGAGCAGTTGTTAAGCAAGGACCACCCCAATCCAATGAATCCCAATCCCAATCCAATTGCTAAATGAAGACTTTGAAGTAATCCCTCAAAGGAGAGCTAAAATATGAAGTGTAATCTGATTGGAGGTAAAGGAGCCTGATTACTTTTTTTACTGCACTTCTGCGTGTACTACTAAAGTAGAAATGGATGTCGTTGGAGGCTACTCAAAAATTCCCAGCTTGGTCCCTCCCAGCCCTGGGCCTTGGTTTTTCCAAGGCAAGGGACTACCTTCCCTTCAACTCCCCCCATCTGCCTATCTCTGCCCTTTTGGCCACCCTGCCCAGCATGAAGAGGCCACTGTATTCCCCCACTGCCGCCCCCAGTGGACTTTCCTCTCTGTCCTCTTCAGCATGATCATCATGTCCTTCCTCTGCTCTGCTGGGCTCCCCCCCCCCCCGAGGAGTGTTACCTCAAATTCCACAGTATGGCAAGTAACCCTGTTGCCGCAGCATGCCAAGCAGTCCCTGAGCAACAGCACACCAAGAAGCACCTGCTTAGGAGCCCACCTCCTCTGGGTGCTTACCAAATGAGAAGCACCCCACATCGTTCGCTTGGACCCATCTTGCCCATGATTCCACATCCGCAGGTGCAGTCTTGCAAGAGCCACACCTCCTAGAGTGGCCCTTGCACACTGACCTGACATCACCAGCCAGCGGGACATTTCCGCTGCGCCTCCGCATGCATGGCCAGGATGGTGAGTCCAATGGAGGGGAGGCAGGCGAAGACAACAACAGTCAACTGGGAGGGTGGTTGTAAATGGGGGCCAGGTCGAATTTTTATCATGTGATCACAGGGGCGCTGCAATGGTCTAAAGTTTGGGAACTGGTCACAAGTCCATTTTCAGCACCGACATAGTTGTAGGGTCACTGAATGAATGACTGTTAAGCGAGGACTACCTATAGTTTAACAGATAAAAGTAGATTTTCTGATTCTAAAAGTGTAAGGAAGAGCACTTTTGACCAGGTAGTTCTATTTATCAATGCAGAGAGTAACTTCTTAATAATGAGATATTCTGCATATGCTCTTCTGTGATAATAATGTCACAAGATATAAACAGTTATTAAATTTTAGTTTATTATAAACTTAAATGCTTAAATTTTACATACTGGAATATACTGCAAGTTTAAAGTTTTGACTTCAATCAAAAGTAAAAACTACTTCTGTGAGATAAAACTGTTTTTGTTTTTTGTTTTTTTACAATGGCCTTATCTGTACATTTTCATTAACTGATTTTAAATCATGAAATACTTATATTTTTCAAGAAGAAGAAAAATTGGATGCATTAGCAGAGAGAAAGGTAGTAAACATGAAATAAAACAGTGCAGGATTATATTTATTATTGGAGGCCACACACAGTGGAGATCCATCCTAAATGTCTTTCAGAAGTGCTTTCATTTTAATTCTGTAACATAGTTAATTTTTCTAAACAGTTTTATGTTGATTAAGTGTAGGAAAGGTATTCATAAGTCAGGATAGACTTTACTTCAATAAAATAAATTACCACAGTTTTGATTATTAAAAGAAATGTGTCCATTTGTAAAATTTCATTTTTGTTTTTACCTATGTGCAAGTACACTGCATACAAGGTTATCTGTTTAACCCCAAACACAGAGGAGATTTGATACATCTGCATACAGTAATATTGTAAAAAAAAAAAAAAGACAAATACTTTGCATCATATCCAGATATATGATTGTATTTCTTCAGAGATACAGTATAGCCTTGGCTCATTAGAATATAGTGTATTAAATTCTACAAATATTTTTGCAAGCCCATGTATTTCATCTTCAAAAAAAGTTTTCATTCTGAACTTTATAAAGGCATTTTTTAAAGTTAAAGTTCTTTGGGTATGCAAGAAGGGAAGTCGCTTGGCAAAAATTCTGTTAAGGAAGTCTATCTCAAATCTGTTCAATACTGATCTGGTTTACATAGCAACTATATATTATGTAAACAAACCTAATAAAAGATTCCAATTTGAGTCTGGGTAATATTCCTTCTAGTGACTTGTTTAGTTTAAATTATGTCATTTACAACTTGGCATAGAACACCCAGTGTAGTAAAGTCTATTGTTACTTGTGGGGGAGCTTGTGAATGGGATACCTGATGCCTTAGGTGCCATTAAGGAATGCATGACTGATTGCCAAAGGAGTTATTAATTATTCAGGGCACTGAGAACAAAGCTACTCCAGTTAAGACTGAAGGTGGGGGTGACTATATTCCCCTGTCTATCTTGGCACCTGGTAGTATGTCATTTGTCATTCAAGATCATGCTAAAACTTCTTTACAAAAAACTCTGTTTAGTCTTTTGCATGGAAGCTGAGATGGAAGGTGGAAATCCAAGAAGCTTCTGAATGACCACACTAATTTGAAATGTGTTTTGTCAGAAAATTTCAGCTTTCTGTATGTACAAGACACTCACTCAATGAGACAATAATTTTGTAGTGGGTAATTATTATTGGCTTAACAATCATTTCTCAAATTGAGGCAACTGCATAAAATTAACAATTGCATACTTTTATCACAACCAAGTAATTGTAGAACATCAAACAATTGATTTCTGTTATTTCAAAACTTTTTAAAATATTAGCATTATAATTCTCAGTAGATAGGCACAACAATTTTGCTGAGCACTTGATTAGTTCATACAATGCCTAATGGATTAATGCATTGGTATTGTACAAATGAAGGCAATCTAATAAACCAAATGTTAGAATTGTATTGAGTTAGAGTTTTAGGTAATTTATAGAGTTCTTTTTAGGATCCTGGTCAATTTAGAGGAATTAGAATGGACCCTGAATAAATGTATTGGCTGTTTTCTTTTGACCCCAAGCAGTTTCTATTAAACCAAAGACAAACTAGCCTGAGTTACATACAGTATTACATCAGTGAAAGTTAGGTTCCTTTAGTCAGACTTCCTATTTGGGTTACAATTAATTATAACTAGAGATTTAAATTACTGATGGTTCGGCTGTATATCACTATTATTATTATTACTTTAAAATGAATTTTTATGCATATTTCTCTTGGATATGATAGGGATCAGTCCATATTATAAAAGAGTAAGTAATATTGTGAAATGGCTGTAACAGTTGTTACTGTCCACTATAAGTCAAATAAGCTATATATTTTTTTAAACTTCTCATGTATGTTAGCAAAATATTTAATTGGTCTATTTGGTAGGATAGCTAGATTACTAGTTTTTTTGTTTTTTTGTTTTTGGGTTTTTCATTGTTTTTTTTTTTTTGCATGAGTTTTGCAGATAGGGAAGATATTCTCAACATATTTGGTAAATTTCCACATAGAGTAGCTACTGGTCTGTTGAGGATATTGTTCATTTTGTGTTTGAACTGAGTACTTAGTAACTTATGCTAAGGTATGTTATTCCACTAACTGAATTCAGTAAATGGAAGGATGTCTCTTGAAAAAAGTCACATTTCTCTGACTTGGATATGTTTAGCAGCACTGTGGCAGTGCTTCAGATTTATCTTCAAAAGATAATTCATGGCATGTACTGTCTGCAACTCCTTAAAACAGCTTTGTGTTTTTCCATACTCTGAACTTCTTTTAATTAAATCAAAAGCAATACAGCATATGTATGTGTGTGTGTCTGTATACATACACACACATACACATTATATTTCTGTGTGTGCATGTATATGTTTGTGGGAATGTGTGGTCACCATGAATAAAGACTGACATAAAGTCAAATGTTTATGTCTGTATGTGTATGTTTGTGCACACTTGCATATGTAAGTATATACAGTAGATATCTCAACCAGCCAGATTTCTTATGTTATAATGTAGTTGTGGACTAGTTAAAAAGAGCAGTTGTAAAATAAGAGTAGGGTATTAGCTTTCTTTTTCTTCTTGAGGGCTATTTAGTTAGTTTGAGTAGGAGTTGGAAACTGTTAGTCGACAATCCAAAGAAGATGTTTATTTGTGTTTATACCATCTTTTTGTCTAATCTTCTTTTTAGTAGGATTATCTTAAATTCGGGGTTATATTCCTTTCAGGGAAATACAATACTTTGATTTTAGCTTTATCATACTTAGCATACAATATATTTCTCATAA